AGGCACATTATTCGATGATATCTAGTCGCGACGCGTTAAGTGGTTAAGTGGTTGGCCGCGAAATCGGTTTCGCGATACCTTGAAATGAAATTTCTGCTTCGGAATTCAATTTCTCTCGAGGCTAAATTACCACTTGGAATTAAAGCATCGACCTATCCTGACGGCTGAGTTAACATCGGCTATTTGTTCTCTGCATTTATATCGTGATAGCGAAGATACAAAGACAGGATAAGCCCTTTTGCTCCAGTTTATCACTGGTGACTTTCCGTTTGAAAACGGCGAAAAGTCGGAAGTCGTTTCGCGCGATCAATTCCCGTCGCCTCGAGTCGATGCTCGAACGAACAACCGGAAATCTATTAGCCTGAGTACACGCAGAAGGGTACAGGGACCGCAACAACATTCTTGAACATTGTTGCACGCGGTGGTCGTGCGTGACTACCATCGACGGCTCAACGTAATGGCTGGGCAGATTAAACGACGCCCGGTCTCCGTCTGCGCCGGCCCGGCTTCGGCAACATTTACCAGGAATCCGCGAGATAACCTCACGCTTACGAGCGAAAAACTTTTTATCTGCCGTCATGATATACGAGCCGAACTCCTAGTTTTCTATGTTCGGGCCCGACGGTGAACGCTCAAACGTTTACCCACACTGATAGCGATCTAGAGTGCAACGCCTATTTGCTGGTTTGCCTCCGCGGGAACGATCTAGCGCCTCGTTCAGACGCGAGCCAACGACACGCTCCTTCCATCTAGCCGATTGACGGTTCTCTGTTTATCTTTTGCCTTTCCTGACTCCGCGCTATATCTACGAGATGCTTTCAATCGTTTTCCTATCGTGAGCGTTTAACTTTCATTCGCTATTTTGACACTCGCTATTTATAGGAAACAAAGGTTCGTCAATCGTTAGTCACGTAACGTACGCGTCGCGCGACAGTGGAATCAGTCCTTGGACGCGTCACCGATCGGACGGTTGGCGTTTCTCGCACGCGCGCGACATCGCGTTTCTTCGCGACTCGAATCAGGTACAGAGGTAAGACGGCGTGCGTTCGATGGACTTAGCACGAGAGAGTTTACGAGCGCGTCCTCGCCGGGTCGAGAGCGTGACGCTTTTCTAACAGGCTCAAGGCCGTAGAAGTTGCGCCAATTATGCGATTAATCGTTAAATGCGCGTTCTTTCGACCTGTTGGCATCTACTGCCATCGAAACGATTCTGCGGCGCTTCGAGCTCGTTCAAGGCTGCGTCGTAAATCTCGTTCGAACGCGAAATTCCGTTTCCCTCTGTGACACTCCATCTGAAAAAAGATAAAAATGGAAAACAGGAAAAAAAAACAATAAAACTATCGAAAAAAAGGGGGAAAAATAGAGAGACGAAAAAACGAAGCCAAACTGGAACGGTTGAAAATGTTCGTGGCACGAGTAATCGTGGAGTATTTACTGGCCGATCGTTTCTTCAGCCGGTAACGGATAAAACATGTATCTGCGAATTACAGGGTATCGCCGGTGTCGATAATCGTAAATCACGAACGATTTATCGAGCGGCCGGGGAATGCGCTTACGTCTGTGTTCGTAATTTTTGACGCGACACTCGGCACCGATCATTTGAACCATTGACATCGATGCCTGGGCGTCGCGTCGTTGACCTCGACAATAATCGCCACAGTGTTCGTTCGGAACGTAACGTGGCCCGATTTCGCCCGAGAATCGAAAATAATTCGATTTCATCGATCGCCTCTCTAGATCTCCGATCCACGACCAGACCAAACGATCGTGTCTCCTCTTCTCCCTATTCCACAGTTCGAAACGTTGGTCCGATTTTTCTGACTGTTTTCCGATCATCGAAATGCTGTTATCTCGTTAAAACAATATCCACCTCATAGAATGGACAATTTCAGATGTCTCGACTCGGATGATATTTTATTACCGCAAAAGGATGACAAACCGAAGCTCAGGATACAGTATCGACACCTACGTTTACGATACACGGCTTTCACAAACGAACAGCTCCTATCGGTACATAGATCTGATAAACGATCATCATTCTGAAATACCTAGTACTTCGCGTACTTCGGTTTTCCGTTACATCCGTGCGAAACCGTGTTTCTCGATCGACCGTAGATTCTGTTACTCGGTAAATAAATAAGCAAATAGCTCTGCTTATCCGATGAGTAAGGTGAAACTCTCGAAGAGATCGCAACTAGCTGGAAAAGTCTGTGTGACTGCGAAGCAGAGGAGGGAAAAGGCTCCGTACAAAGGTGCAGACGGGAATCGCGCGCGCACTATGATTGGTCAGGAAAAGTCAAAGTTTCGAGCCGGCTAGCTCGGCCGCAGCGCGAGGTAAAACCATTTCGATCAATCGCCTCGTGGGAGTAGTATCTTTTCCCCTTGTCGCGATCGAGCAACGATACCAGAGGCCCGATATCGCGAATCGATAGGGAGTCCACGGTTACACGCGGCCAACTGTGTATATTGTCGCGGCGTGCTCTGTGGCCCATTCCCACTGGACCACCGTGCCTTTTCCGCTTATACACGCTCGCGGGATCCACGCCACGCCGTTTGTTGTCTGCCAGCGAAACGATACGCGATGCGTTCGATTTCCGCGTCAACCACGTTTTTATTACCACTATTACGTCCCTAGAATAGAATGGTAGTTTACGATGGTTCGTACAACACCGAGCGTATACGCGATACCAAGCCAGATACCGATGGCTGGATTAGAGAAAATGATTAGAAACGACGAAGAGCGATTCTCGCGACGAGGGAAGAAGCGAAACGACAGAGGTCGCGCGTTTCGAAACATTTCCTAGCGGAAATGCATCGCGGAACCGAACGGACGAGCTTTCCAATCGTGCGTTCGGACGTTAATAAAGGCTTAATGAAAACGGGAGGGCGAAGTGAGCAGCGTGTGTCAAAGGCGTGGCGGGGAATCAACGAGCGTGCTTGGAACGGGCTACGGAAAATGTCATCGGCGTGCATGAGTAGTACGAAGCCGCATTGTATTCTCGTGGCTTTCCGCGAGCTCCACTTTAAAAGCTCTCTCTCTCTCTCTCTCTCTTCCTCTCGGAAGGTGAAAGGGTCGTAAAGCCAGAGAGAGGTCAGAGCTTGGACGAAGCTCTGCCGACGTTCCATGCACCCGCCTTCTTTTTCTCCTCCCCGCTTTCCACTTCTTTCCCGGAATATTTTTTCCTTCTTTTTAACGTTCGATCGCGAAAACTCTTTCAGAGAAGCTCATAAAAGATTGAAGTCACAATGAGGCGGGACCCGTTCACCAGCACAAAAAGATAGGAAAACCGACGGACGGCGTTGAATCCGGAAGATTTTGCCTCGAAGCCGACACGCGACCCCTTTGCCTTTGTCCGCTCATTTTCGTCCCCCGGATCAGCCCCCAGGCGTGCCACGGCCTGGAAAGAAAACGTACGTTTCCCGCCCGTTACGGACGCCCGTTCCGCATAGCAGCGGCGTAACGTGGAAACTTGAAAACCTTTAACGATTTTCTGTCACGTGGAAAACCCCGATGTTTTTTCCTTTACGTTCCGGCTCGGTCCGCCGACGTCGCAGCCGATTATACGCCGGGACTGGGTCATTGTCACGTCGTCGAAAGTAAAAATAGTTGGACCGAATGTCACGCTTGACGAGTCCACCCAAGGGACTATGAAGGGATAAGTTAATTGCCATACGCGTCTAGCAGCGTGTTCGTGTTATCGCTCCCTCGGAGCGAGATTAATTAATGAACTTTTAATAAGCGCATTAAACCGGCGACTGACATAAACGCTACCTGGTATACATTGTTTAAAAGCGCTGGGAACGAGACGATTAAACGGCATCGACGTGTACGGCATCCGATTTGAATTTTGTTAGAAAGTTTCTTTGTCCGCGGATAAGAACGCCGAGTCGTAAGCAACGAAGCGAAAAGGAAGAGAAAGACTTGGTAAATTATGGCGGGCAGCTAATAAAAATTAATCGGTTCCATTATTTGCGCCGTTGCCGTGATTACACAAGCGGCAAATAGCCGAACCTCGACACCGTTCTTCGCCTCGATACACCAGTCTTTTACTATGTTCTCGCTGGTTTCGTGGATCCCGCGCAACGAGCATTGTCTATGCGTAATTAAAACTTTTAATTATCAGTCGCCAGCTCGTCATAGCTCTCCGTGTAATTGCGCCTCGAGCCTTAGGTTTTTCGCCTCTTTCAGTCGGTGTTTCGATAAAGAAACCTGTAAAGGTGTTCGCTAGATGAGACGTTCGATCGTCTTACTTTCTCGCCGTTCTCTCCCTCGTATCGGAAAATCCATCGATAAATAGAGATCGTAGCGCAAAGCCAGGCATTCGGGAAATCGGTTTTCCACAAGTTGCGAACAAACTACCGGAGGTTGGAGGTTCTTCTTTACGACGCCTTTTTCGCTCTCCAAGGAGCCGTGTTCTTAATTTGCAATCGACTCTCGTAATCACGATAAATGCGAAAAAAGCGGACCGCGGAGGCGCGAGTTTCGACATGCGAATAAACTTCCAACCTGATTGGAAATCGAACGGAGTATGGATCCAAGCCGGCGAACTAACCCGTGCAAAAAGTTTCAAAGCCTGTGTGTCTGACAGACGCACGCGCGCGTTTGCAAATCGACTTGGATTATCTTTAATATCCGCGGTAAGTAAATACTATCCGTTTACATATAGAAGCCGTACAAAACGATGGAACGGTCTCACAGAAGGTCACTTAGCTTCATTCGTGCGTCGATGTATCACGCGTTTAAAATGACGATCGAATCGAAAATCTTGGCGATGACGCTTTTACGTCTTTCGAAGGCTGTAAAAGTTCTTCCAAAAGGAATTCCCCTCCGCGTTACAGCAATAAATTAACGGTAATAGAGTTATGGATAAATTATTGGTAAGATCGTGGTTGCGGGAATTCAACAGGGACAGAGAAACTGTACGTGATCGTAAATGTTCAAGCCGCTCGTTACTCATTACAGACTTCATTGCAAATGATATTCATCGCAGTTTTTTGCAAAACTTAAAGAGTTGTTTGGTCGATGATGCTTCACAAGAAACGATGATTTAAAGGATTGCATAAGACGATGGTTATATGAACTAGCGACGGAAGGGTATGACGAAGATGTACAAAAACTTGTATAACGTTATGGTGATTGATGGTTGCATTGAAAATTAACTTAGTACGTATACTAAAATTACGAACGAAGACAATTTTTTCCGATGCATTTGTACCGTTGTTATTTCTAAACGAGTATTACTTTCTGGACGACTCTCGTATTTCGATTCGAATCTCTCGTGTAAACGGAAATATAGATAACAAGCGCGACATGCAACATAAACAGTCACGCACCCCCGTTACGGTTAAATATTATTCACCATGGTTCAAGCTTTCTGCCAAAATTAGCGCGGCGATCAACGATCGACGAGCCAGATCGATTTCAAACACGAATCCATCGATGGTTGGTTCTTTTGACGCCGTTTGCCTGCTGAACGAGAGCATTTCCTGAAACACGCGGTCAATAATTTCGAGAGGGAGCTTGAAAGCTGTTGGAATCCCTCGCAATCAGTTTGATCGGTACCGAATCACGTCAAGATTGAAAGGTTCGCGGTGTCACTGTCGAAGCGTACAGCCGCTGTACGCGTACAACGAAGAGAATGATACTAGACGAATGAAGTGGAACCGGGTACGCACGAGTTATATAAAGAGCACACCGTGTATAACTATCAGCGCGAAGCGACACCATGCGATTACGTGAGTCACACTTTAGAAATGGAAAGAAATGTTTGCATTTGAAATATCGCGTTGCTCTAACGACGCGTAATCACCGATCGTATGAATATTAAGAATACTCGGCGGTACGGTCTTTACTGGAAGCCGAGTCGCGACGCGTCGTCGGCCCCGCGAGCTCAATGGCGGGTAATTAAAGTTCTCGCGTCGAGCGTTCCAGCTGGGTTTCGAAAACAAACCAGAGTTGCGATTCGATGTTATTTCATTTCACGCGGCGACAAAATCAATGGGACTTTCGGGAGCCGCGGTGAATCGGTCGTGACAGGAATCACAGGATCCGTTGGAAAGTTGTAGCGAACGGTGGCTACGCGTCGCCTCGCGTCGCACCATATCTCGTTGCGAGCGTTGTGCAGATTTGTCAGCAGGAAACTATTGATTTCCTCGTAATGAGGCGTGCCAGTGTGCTCGCTGAGAGCGATGAATACATAGGAGGGCGTCCAGCGGGAATGGCAACTGGGATGTGAATAGCACATACGGCGATATCTGTCCGGCCGAGTTCGCATAGAAACCGGCGAAACGCGGTAAAGCATCGTTATTCCGTTCGTTATGCATCGGAAAGCCGATTAAAGCGTTTGCAGTTGCCGTGCCGTTCAAGGCGATCCGTCGTCGCCTGCACGAGCTACGGATTCTACTTGAGCGTGTGACATTCTAATCGTAAAAAGGTCTTGGCGATGTAACCTTGCCGTCTTGTGCGACCGACCGTTCCGCAGGGAGCTTCCGTGTCCTCGATTCTATGACGCGACGCGCGATCGACGATTAAGCCTAAGGTTGTCTGCTTCGTAATTGTCACGATGCGGCAGTGGATAATACGCGCAGAGACGGTGAACGCGAGTCTTAGGATCGCGAGCGTTGTTCGGTCGTTTGTAACGTCGAGTCGATGCGAATGAAGATGGTGATTCGGTTGTTTGCCGGCAAGGGAAATGCTCGCAAATGCTCGCAAACCTTTCTGGTAAACGGTGTGGTTCGTTCTCCCGGCGAAAAGCTGATTAACTCACCGCCCCTGGCGGTACTCACGATACTCAATACGAGCTCCGGTTACTTACCTTGAATGGCTATAAGGCGCCGAGCTCCGCAAATACTTGGGCTTTGATGAGCGCGCTTTCATGCTTCGAGCCTCTGCCGATGAATCGTTTTAACTCCTTCTGCTAAATATAACTCCCGGGTAGAATTAGCTTTACTCCGCGTCGCTAGTAATTACGCGGACACTCTCTGACGCGCATAAGCTGTCCACTTGTGATGAAAATTTCAAGCACCGTTATCCTCGTGTCGCGGCAACGCGTCGATACCGCATAAATCGCCGCTACATTTTATGCATCGAACCTCAGCGTATCCCGTCCCTCCGGTTTACTATCGTCGTTGATTCGCGGAAGCGTTCGCCTCGCGCGAAATCGCCGTAGAAAAATCGTTCCATCGAAAAGACTTTCCTTTTCGATCGGCGAACAACGTCCGCGGCGTAAAAAGAGGACGGCCACGTAACGTTCCGCTGAAACGATACCCACAACTCCCGTTAAATAGGAAAATAGTTGGCAATTTGTCTTGATTCGTAATCGACGACATAATAGACCGGCGGAACGCAGGTGTGGTTCGCTTTAACATACCCGGTAACCCATAAATAACGATCTCCGACCTTGTCTCGTAGCTCACGCACAGGCAAAAGCTGTTCAGCAGCCATAGTTATTTCTCGCGTGTCGTTCGGCGTACGCGAAAGTTGTTGTTCTCTTGTTTGGCATCCGAGTCAGAAGTAGAATTCGATCGATTATTTTCTTCTTGGAAAATCGACGATTCGTGGAATGAAAGCGCGAAACGACACACGGGTCAACGGATTCGCGTCGGGTGAATCACTCGTCCATTCGGCGCCGATCCACGGGTCGTCATTAAAGGCGACCATGCCCGTGTTTCACCGTCGGTTCCACGAATTCGGCTGGCGTTGGAAGCCGCGTCGAGACGTGGGTGGACTGGAGGAAGGACCCGTTTCGCATAGAGATTCAATTGTAAACTTGTAATCCGACATAATCCGCGTTTGATGGCCGTAGATCAACAGGTCACGGGTGACGGTGGGCGGCATTGTTTTCTGTAATCCTGATGAATATTAATGCGGGTTTCGTGAACTAACAAAAACAAAATAAAGAGAGGGAAAAAAAGGAAAAGACACGTTGAAAAACGAGAATGGCAAGGTGGAGTGAAAGAGAAGGAAAAAAGACGGACCGCGTCTGAACAATTCGTCGTCCCCGCCTCGGTGCGTCTTCTCGATTCAGTCGCGACGCGCTCTCCTCTCCGACGGTATTCTTTTCGCGTGTGGCTTAGTCACCGAGAAAGAGACTCCGGGGCTCGCAGTGAATCCGCTCTACGTGGCTATTCAAATTTCGACTGCGTGTGACCAGAATGAAAGATCCCTGTCGACGTTCCCGCCGCGTCGTCTGCATCTCTTCGTGCCGTTCCTCTATCAGACCGTTTCGTTGCGAAAACGCTCGCATCGGGAGCAGGCAACTGCAGAGTCCTGCAATCACGATCGAGATTAATCCGTCACTTTGATGGCCAAGTTTCTCTACGATACACGCGTACGCATCGAATGGAGGTACACGTTTCCATCGTGAGTTGTATGCGAGAATTACGCGATTTTATTCAATCCTTCGATACCGCTCCTCCCAACGTTCAAGCTAATTATTTACCAGGAAATTAGAGTTTTCGTTGGTTATCGATGATATTGGCTAGCAACTGTTCACCGTGAAACAAGTCCGAAAATATGGCTTGTTTACATCGAATAACAATATCGTTTATTATGTAGTTAATTACGAAATATATATAAGTATATATATGTATATATGTATCACGATAAATATACGCGTACACGTACATATTATATTTATCCGGAGGACGCGGACGGTTGCGTACACATATTCTCTCACGGTATGCTATATTTTATTCAAATTATTTTACTTTAACACACTCGCGTCACGGCATTCGTGTACATAACATTTGCATAAGTTAGCCGTGGAAACGCGGTAACAGAAATATCCGTGATACAACGGTGACACGTTTTCTTTAAATCGCGAGCGTGCGTCACTACTCAGGGCGGATTCTCAATAACCCTCGAGTTTCATCGGAACCGGGACGGAATAAAGGGCTGCTCGACGAGATTCGTGATTTTAATATCGGCTGGGTTGCGATGGCTGACAAAAAGTCGGTCGAAAACGCAAAGTCCGTATCATCCGGTTGGTATTCGTGATTTACGGTGGAAACTGTAATTTCTGTCGGCGTTGAGTGGCCCGAGGAACGAAAACATCATCGGGACAATTACGCTGGCGCTCTGTAGCTGGCTCGGTCGCCGTGTTCGCGCTATTCCATATTCGCCGGAACGAAATTTCCCACGGTCGTGGAACTTGATTCGCGACCCAATATCAGGAGCACCGTGAAAAGAGTGCGGACTTGAGAGAAGCGGGGTAGACAGAACGATTTACGAAACGGAATTTCATTAAACGATAAATAACAAACGCCGTTACGCATACACGTACACGCGTACACTTCTACAGAGGCGATCACACGTACGGGACACTGGTGCGCCGTAGACAGGGACGCGAGAGGGACGAGGACGAGAAGACAACGAGAGAAAGGGAGAGACTTTCGTGAAACCGCGGCATTCAGTATTATTAGCTGGCGCTAGGCGCTGCCGGGCTCCGCGGTATAGGCGCCTTATTGGGTTACACGAAAGCAAGTAAGATAATATACACGTAGAATGCGAGATATCCGAAGTAAAAGGTGCAGGGCAACGCGAGAGAGCGCAAAGAGAGCGCGCCGCCCGGCCCAGACCCGTCGAGTCCCCACGGCTGATAAAAGGTTATGCCAGGAATGCAGTTTCATGAGAGAGCGCGCGCTACCATATTAATTATTGTCTTAGAAAATTAACTTTTTACGCGTCAGTACGTTCGCGAAACAATAGCGGCTAGGTTTCCGATGCCTCGCTCCTCGTCGCCATCCTTTTATCATATTCCGTTTTTCTTATCGCCCTATTGCACGCTCGTTAATTCTGGTGCAAAACGTTGCTTCGTTCTGCTCTCGATCCTGATTCTACTGACGTAACGCGGCTCACCGCGATAAAGTCGAGGACGCGAAATCGTACCGATTCCTATTCCCACTCCCTGAGATTCCAGCGTCACAGCGTGCTACTGCACTTGTCGCTTTCGATCGTGCTCGCTGCGCGCTTACCGGGTAACCTGACCGTTGAAAGCAGTATTCTAGGCCGCTACACTCAATATGTATTTCGACTCGAACGTGTAATGTGTTTGTTTGGCTGCTCTACCCGAGAAAAAAAGTTCAGCTGTAGGTCTGCGCGCGGTTGTGAATCGCGTGCCGATAAATCGCGGCCGAGACGCTAACTGTTTGATCACGGTGGAAAATTTTGGAGCTTCTTGTGGGCCCTCGCGATCCCTCAGAAGGACATTCCATCGCCCGTCCCAAACGTTTCGTTTCGTTTTGCGTTGGAAAGCGTCTCGTACTTTCGGTAACTTGTAGATCGGAGGCTCGGCGACTTGTTTATTTGTTCGTTTATTGCTAGACGGTACTCTCCCTTTGGCGTACACGCATATGCCGAGATAAGATAAGTTGCAGCCGTTTTGAATCATTGTGAAGCAGCGTGGTTTAGATACGACTGTGGCAAAATATTGATTCAAACTTTAAACTGGTTAAAATACCTCCCCTAGATTTAAAGAGATGGAGACTATTTTTTAAGGGTTCGTTGTTTGATCGCGCGCGTGTTTTTATTATCGCGCTGTCTGCTGCCGTCGGTCGTAGCCAGGAAATCGACCGAGACGCGTCGATGACAACGAAAGCTTTCGTAATCGACAGTGCGTCTCGTTTTCTCGAGATTGAGATTCCAGCGGCGCCGCTGCTCGCTGCTGGCTAACCTGACCATCGAAACGAGTATTCTAGGGCACTGTACCCTGGTCTTAGAATAAACTCGGTTTACTTAAGCATGACGGGCATGCATATGAGTACAGGGCAAAGGAGAGCCGCCAAGCGCCATCTACCCAGTGACCAGAAATAATTGTCATTCTACTTGAGGCGGGCCCGTATTCGCCAAGGCCTCGTTGATCTCGCTTTTCTCTCCCTTCGTCACCCTTTTGACCTCTTGTTTTCTCTCTCTCTCTCTCTGACGCACCACTCCTCCACGAATTACCTTCTTTCCTTCCTTTTTGTTTGCCTTCGAAGATAGACGGAAACTAGTCCACGAGCAAGCGTGTAAGATTTCTCTGGACATCGCGTTCTTGTCTTTCCGACTTTTCCTTAAAGTTGTTAAGAAAGGAGATAGTTTTCTAGGAGCGATGTTTCACTTTGTGTTAACACGCGGGTTTATGACCGCTTTGCGAGAAATCGATCGCCACCCGAGCGAATTCCTCGAGCAAAGAACGCGCGTACTCGTTTGATGTACGCATCCAAGACATTCCGCGTGCTCGCCTTCCCCCACGATGCTTTGGTAATTTGGTCGCGACGATGGTGTACTCGTGCGCAGGAACGGCATACGTTTGGCAGTAAAACGTCCAGCAGGACGACGCTCGACGATCGTTTACATTTCGTTCACGTCCGTTTCATTCTCTTTCGAGGAAGCACTGAAAAACTTTTGTTCTCCACCCAACGATTTTTCAGCCGCCGCACACCGCGCGACGGATTACCTCATTTCGGTTATTGCGTCGGGAGCCGGCGACGCGAAGCACCATTATTTCTCTTTGCCCGCCGGTTGGCGGAGCACCAGAGATCAGGAGTCAAGTCAAAAGGAAGATCCACGAAGCTAGACGAGTTTTCTCGCCGGTTTCCCGGCCGGATTTCATTCGATTAGAGGGAAACCGTCGGGCTGTCTCGAACGACTCTCGTTTTTCTCTCTGCCGGTCGACGAAACGAACGACTTTCCTGGGTAAACGGCCGCGGAAACACGACCGATCGTTCCAGCCCGTTTTCCGGTTACGCGGGAGTCTTAAACGGGCTCTTCATTGAATTACAAGTTCGGACTTTCGAGTCGGCAAACGAGTTCAGGTCGCGAGAACGAGCATCGGCCGATCTAATAAGCGTTGCGAACCTTCCAATTTCTTTCTCTCGCGGTGGAAACTTTGAACCACCTGCCTCACCGTGTTCCCGTGGTTTCTCGATCCATCGAGAGACGGTTTCTCGACGATTCACGTCGTTCGCAATTTCTGTGTTGGTCGACGCGAGACGCGAATCAGGTCCAAGAAAGGCTAGATGTGCGGTTCCGTATCGTAT